TATACACTGGGGAGAGGTAGGGACATGTTAGTTAATTTCAACTCTAATGAATGGTTTTCAAACACCATATTCATTATAATTACTATTAACTAAGAGAAGTCCAATTCTGAAAATTATAATAGGATGAGTGAATGCATCAAAGGGTTTAATAAAGTCGAGATAGATAACACTGGCTGACTATCAAAGAGAAGAGATATTTCTGTTTTGATAGAATTTATGAATAACTACCAGCATTTCAGACATAAAAAAATCACTTCAAAAATTCCTGATGTTGTATTTCAGCAGACCATATTTACTTGCATACATGTAGCCAAGTAATACACTCTTTAATCTATTCTTTCCCTGTTTCAGCTTGGAATTTTGAATCCCAAGTTAATATTAATCTTACTATATCTCTATTACTATTAGCTATAGTCCTCAGAAAACTCATAATTCGGCACTTAAGTGCTTTCCACAACAGTGAAGTTCTCATGTTTCTCTGATTTCTGTTCATTAGTCAGTTTTTGTATGTAGATACATTGTAATGTTTCCTACCTGCCTGGAAACAACCTCCATTCACATTTGACCTAATTTATTTAGCTATTTATTAAGATCATAAACTAGTACCTTTAGTCCTTACTGTGTTTTATTCTTTTATATATTTAAATTTTGATCATTTTCTTTTGATGATGTTCATATTCTCTCTTTTAAAAAGAGATTCCTATCTGCTCTCAGTTGCTTTACTTTCTAGACACCTTATGTCAAAGTTTCTTCTTTCCAGTTGATTGAGCTGGATGGAGTCAGGGGTGTATATGTGTGTGTGTGTGTGTGTCTAGTATTTTGCTGATGCAATACTTAACAACTTCTGTTATGTGTTGAGCCTTTTCACCAAAACTGTTTCCTAGTTTCCTAGACAGTAATTTCAAGCAGTCATAATCAATTTTATTTGTGACCAACTACTTTATTTTTCTGGCTACATGCATTTCATATAGAATAGTAATATCCCTTCTTTCTGAGAGAGAAGAGGGGTAAATATCCTGCTTGAATACTCCAATATTTGTTCTTGGTTTTTAACTCTATCAGCTTCACCTAGAATTTGCAGTTTCTTCAGCACTTGTTTGTTTGGCATTCCTTACTAAAGTTTGAGGTTACATTTCCCTCAAGACTTACATGTATATAAATATAAAATTTTATCTGACATTCCAAACCTTCAGATCCTTCCTGAGTTTTACCCATACTGTTGTCTTCTAGTAATATCTGAAATAAGTGGGGATTCCTTACTTCTTTATTTTCCCAATTGAAAGGTTTTGACTGTCAGTCATCTGTTGATCCTACAAATTTCAATGCTGTTATGAAACTGTCATTTTTTATTTGATTGTAAACTCTTTCTTTTTTCTTTGCTTGCTTTGGTTTTAAATTGCATTTTAAGATATACATTTTAAGGTATTGGCTCTTCAAAATTAATCCTGTGTTATTATTTTGTTCTTTGCTTTCCAACAGTCTTCGATCAAAGAAATCTTTCTTTCTGAATAACTGCATAATAAAAATCAAGTTAAATACTTATCATTTACTGAATCTGTTAGTAATTTCCTGTTTCCTGATGTGTCGTGGTCAATTTGCTTTGGGTCAATTTGCTTTTACACCCTCCACACAATTACTATTAGGAGAGAGAAGGTTTATGCAGACAAAAGAGACTGGATTTGGGAAATAATATTAGCATTTATTATAAACAAGCTAAAACTAAAAAACTATATCTGCAACAATTCTACTCAAGTAAAAGTATTATGTATTTACAGGAATACTTCTCCTCCGCACCTTTATATCAGTCCAAGGAGGAAAAGCAGTTTCTTTCTCCATTCTCAGAGCTCCAGGTCTCTTCAGTAACTCTGCAGCACTCTCGTTGCAGCTGGAACTCTTTCTCTTTCTCTCTTGCTCTGTGTTGGCCTCCAGGGCTGGGCCTACTCCCCTCCTGGGCTAAGACTGGAGGCTGGGGATTACCCAGGCCCTGAAGGTTTTCTCTTCCATGGACTTGCAAGGGGACACTTGCTTACCAGGAATCTTCACCATAGGGTCACAGGGGATAATGGCTTATGAGTCCACCCTGTTTTCCTGTGGAGGTCCCTCTCCATGGGAGAACAGTCCTTGATAGACCTCTCTGACATGGGTCTAGCATGGATCCCACACATGGATCCCAACATCCCTACCCGAGCTGTTTTTTGCTCCAGTATAGGTTCTCTCAGGGTCACAAATCTCCAGCACCAGCAGCATCTTCAACAGGACTCTACCTCATTTCAGTCCTTTTCATGAAGCCTTGGCTTCCTTGTATATCCACAAGCTCCTTTGTGAGCCGCATGAGGGTCTCCTCACCCCAACAAACTTTCACAGGTAACAGTATTTTCCTTGTTGAAGGGAGAAAGTGAAAAGGGGAAAGAAGCAGCCCCCACCTCGAGTGCCTCTTCTCTCTCCTCCAGCTGCCAGCGTTGACCTTGGACACTTCGTTATCTCCCTGCCAGAATTTTGCAGCATTTTCTGTCCAAGCAGTCAGCCCTCTAAAGTTTTTTTCCTTCACTCTCTTATATGAGAGAAGGGAGGCTTCAGTGCTACACCTGCCCCTGGCCCAGGCCGGGGGAGGAGGGGACCTTGACCCACCTCGGGGCTTGCCTCCTCTCCTAAATGGCAACTGCTCCTAATTTCAGCTGCGCAACCCCTTTCTCTTCCGTTTTCTTAAATATGTAATTAGCAAAGACGTTACTGAGAGTTTTAATTGGCTTCTTGTCCGGAAATCCACCTGGACAAAACCATCCTCAGCCCCAGGGACACTGGTGTTAGCATATGAATTTGATTCAATACCGTATTATACCAGTCCAATACTTCTAATTAAATATATCCTATTTTATAGATTTTTAAAACAAAATTAGCTTACTAAATTTTTAAAAAAACACTCCATAAACTTTCAGCAAACTAATCAATAAAATTATACATTAACCACAGACAATTTCAACACTAAGTTTGCATTTTGCTTTTTGTGATGCAAAATTGGTAAACACTATTTATGGGAGCAAAATAGTAAAACAAAAAAGAGAAATATCAAAGAGCAGTAGAACTACTGAAATAGTTATTGATTTAGTGTTTTTCATTGGGATTTAGTATTATGTGCCAAATAGTGAAAGTGCAAATTAAATTGTAAAATATTGTACTGGGCCTGGCTAAAATAGAGTTAATTTTCTTCATAACAGCTCATATATTGCTGTGTTTTAGATTTTTTTGTCCAAAAGAATACTGATAACACACTAATGTTCTAGCTTGCACTGAAGAGTTGGCACAGCACCAAGACCTGCTTTATTTCTCACCTCATCCCTGCAGTGAACAGATTAAAAGGTGCAGAATAGCCTGGGAATGTACATAACTATGCAGATGGCTTGAACAAACCAAAGAGGTATTCTGTACCACATACCATTGTGCTCAGCAATAAAAGTGAAAAGGAGGCTATAGAAGGTCTAGCCATATTTTGCTCATGAACTGCCTGGGCACCAGTCTATCCATGGGAAGAGGTGAATGACTGTCTTTGCACTTTTTCTTTTTCTTTTTCTTTTTTTCTTCTTTTTCTTTTTGTTTTTCTTTTTCTTCCACATTAAAAATTAGTGTAGATAACATGAAATATTAAAAAAAAATTAAAATGACTACATCGGTTTGCTGAGAGAACCATTGCTTAAATTATTAGATTATTTTTTCCAAGTTTTTTCAATCTACTTTGCTCTAAGTGTGTTAGGTGAACATCTTTATAGGAGTTTTTGGTATGAAAACTTTAAAGATTTAAATTTTATCCACCCTTAGTTGAGGATTGAGGATTTACATTACTAATACACATGGCTAAAAATATCTTTGAGCCAAATATGTCACTTTGGCTTGATAAAGCAGCAGATATTTAGCCAAATCGACCAATGTTTCTGGTGTAAACTATTAAATGATTGAAAAAAAATCTTTATTTAATTTTTTACTTCTTCTTCTCTCTAATATAAAGATAGATCCTTCCTCTTTACTCTCTCTCTCCTCATTCTGATCCTTTTTCTTTTAACCAAAAGACAGAAAACTCACTTGTATTGAGTAATTGTGGTTTTTAAGGAAAGCAATCAAGAGCTGGGAATGAACTACACTTGTCAGTTACATTCTACAGCTATGATGAGTTGAAATGTGCCAGCTGTACAGCTTGTCCACAGCTGTTGTCTCTCAAATCTTCATATAATATCCATTTTCTCTCCAACATTTACAAAGTTTATAACTGCAGTGAGAGTTGATCAAAATTGCTCTAGTACGGAACACTACCAGTGCAATAGCTCTTAGTTTTAAGCTATGCAGAAGGGAGTCTACGCCAGAAATAATTCTTCACATAATGCTTAAGACAGCACAGATGTCTGTGTTTGATCTAAGGAGCATAATTAAGGAAAAAATGCTGACAGAAATAATCTACATAGCACCAAGTAAAGCAGGGGGGGAAAGTGTGTAGAGAAAGCTGAAATGCTAGTATTTGGGGAGAATAATATACAATGAGCAAAACATGCCAACTGTATAGTTTGACTGTAAACTGAAAGACCAATAAGGAGGAAGGAAAACAAACAAACAAACAAAAAGCCAGACATCAACAAAAAATAACCCACCACCAACAAAATAAAACCTATGAATAGCATTAGCTGACCAATATGGAAACTTCTCCAGATTATTTTTTGGTGTGTGAATACTTGTACAACCAGTTCACAGTAAACTTGGAGAAGAAAACCTGTTGAAAGGCCATATTAAATAAAGATCATATTTTTGTTTGTCTGTTTAAATGTGTATATGTGTATAAGAATTTAAACTTCAATGCTGAAACCGTAACACTACAAAATTTTTGGGCACATGGAGAAAACAACATACTCTCTCACCTGTAAGAAAAGCATCTGTTTCCCTGCTTACCTAATTTTTTTTCATATCCCATAAGACCTATTGGAGAGTCACAGCTGATTTGGCAGTTGCTGAATCAGTGCTGACTTCTGTGCCAAAAATATATGTAGTTTGACGCACTCCCAAAGTCCGGCAGGAAACAGACAGCTTGGCTTTGTCTATTATGATAAACGAAAAAAAAGAAAAACAGTGGCAAGTCCCTGAATCTGAAATCTAAGGTGGAGCAGATTTACTTAAATTCCCCTTATTTTGCATAGTAACCTCAGTGACATGTTTATATTAGAGAAGCAGTTGGACTGGCTAAAAACTGAGCTGGGAAGTAGAGAGGTAAGAAATATGTAGTGCTCAAACTGCGTTCAAACTTTTCCTTTGTATACCTTTTCCTAAAAATTATGGAATAAATACCCTGTGAGACTCCTGTAGCCTTACTGAAAACAAGTCAACTGTTGGGAGGAATGTGTTAAAAGCAGAAGACTGAAGATTATAAATTGCTCAAGTAATATTGCATCTGGAAATAAGCCTGTGCTGCCTGTGTTGACTAACATATCAACTATTACACATATTACCACATACAAAAATAGTAGAGCCTGGAATAATTTGGTTGGTTACTGGAAAAAATGTCTTGTTTTTATATAGAATCGTAAAATGGTCTGGGTTGGGAGGGACCTCAGAAGTCATCTATTTCCAATCCTTCCTGCCATATACACTTATACTTGACAACATGCATTGTATAAATCTATATAAACACATACACAGATATAAAGGTGCAGAGACACACACCATTATATAGACATAGAGCTTATGTTCCTTTTCTTAAAGAACTGGGGCTGGACAAAGGTGATGCAGGCTCTAATTTTTGTTTTCTGGTGAAATCCTCTTGTGGGAGAGGTGAGGAGTAGGAGGTTTCTCTCCTACTTGAAAAAAAACTAACTGGGAGTGTGCAGCTAAGGAACCTTTTTGGTCAAAAGAATGAAATATGAAAAGGAAATATAGAGTGTAGGGACCAAGCAGTTGCATGATCTATTGTTATTATCTTAAAAGGACCACATAACCTCTCGGAACCACCATAACTATTTGTAAATGTCTGTTCTCTTTGACCATTTCTGAATCTTCATCTATTTTTATGTTTAACAGTACACAGTTTGGTCAATTCTGTGGCAGAAACTATGTGGGATAATATTTGGGATGGTCAGATTTTCCATGTTACTCGACCCATTTAAGCATACAGATGTCTATCAGTTGCAAAAGGCTCATCAGAAGGTGCCTGGTGGAGTATCATTGGGATTATAAGAAATTAACTGAGTCAAATATTTTGTTGTGAGGGTAGTTAGGCATTCAATCAATCACTTTGTGTCAGTTTGGTCTGACATCTATACAGATGACTAGCCAGGGAGTTCCTCGAACATCCAAAGATTTAATGATGAAGAGTGATACCAGGTATGCCACAACTGTTAATTGTAGGAAAAATCTCAAGTGTCTTCTTTATATCATACTAATTATTTAAATTCCACAGGTTCTGTTGCACTTTGAGGTGTCCTAAGGTATCTCTCCTTGTTGTCAAGCTACTCTTCCAAAATGTCTCCTGTTGCTGCTCTTATACTTAGACAACTCATATGAGTCTCCAGGAGCTTCAATAGGAAATTAAATATGTAGTAAACATCAAGGTGACATGTAGATATCCATATTAGGTACTTCTTTATGAGCTGAAACTCTTCCTAGGACAATCCTTGCAAGAGCAGGAAACAGTTATACAAGGTTCGAGAATGAATAATAAGTGAATCAATGTTGATTTAGTCTATATATGTGCTGAATCCTTGAGACTGTGTATGCTATGGAAATAGAAATTGGTGTCATGTTGCATCCATTTATTTTTAATATACATTGGCCCATTTGAAAGTTTCTCCATTGTCTTGAAAAACAGTCAATGAACTCATACTTATAGGATCATGTTTCTGACATCCAGTAGGTTTCTTAGATATGCTAGTTCATTTATATATGAACAGATTCCTGTCTTTGCCAGGATTTCTTTTGCCAGCAGAAGTCATACTATCAAATCTTAAGACACTTGTTACTGTGGTGGAAGAAACTAGTGACAGTTTTTAAGTTCTTAGTGACAGATGCAACATTAGTAAACGTCCTAACACTATTTAGAAGGTAAAGGAATTGAGGTTATTTGAACCTGATTCTTTGATATCTACCATAAGATCAGATTGGATATGTTTATATCATGATCTAGGCTTCATGGTACTCCAGAAAGGTTTAAAGCAGGGGCTAACATTTTTCATACTTAATTAGAACAAAATTCTATAGAAGAGAAAATGGTGTTTCCTGCTACACACCTCATTGACATTTCTTTCTCAAAGATTAAACATGTTCAGATATATTTATTGTTGAAAACAAACTTTATCAGGTTTGGACAACTCTAGAAGGACACTGCAATGCTGACTGATTGTTGGTGTAGCTTTGCAATATATAAAAGGATGTAGAAGGTTTTAATGTTGTTTAAAGTGAACATGCTTCCGAAATGGCTTGGTAACTCTTTGTGTTAACATTTCTTCTTCTCAAGATCCCTTTAGTCTTACCTGTACCTTTGGAATGTCTAAGAGATAACTGAAAGGTCATCTATTGGTTGTTAACCCCTTGTTGTCATTGGTTGGTTGTGAGACCTCCTGGACCACTGGTTACATTGTAATCCTCCCAAGAAGTATTTAAGCAGTTACCCAGAACAATAACTCTCTCTCTGCCTGCTCTCCCTGCCTGCTGCTGCCGTGTCCTGTGGTGCCTGTGGGGGCCATGGGATGCCACGTGGTTGGAGGGAGGGAGGGGAGCACCTTCCCTCTCCGGAGCTAGAGGTAAAAGGAAAAGCCTCTAGCCTGGAGGTCCCCCTCCCTATCCACCTTCAACATTCGTCAACTCATGAATTGATCAAACATGCTATTTGAATTCTTACCTAAAGATCAGCAGTTCTAATAATTAACTACATGAAAGCAGTTTTAATTAGCCAACTTTAAAGGAAGATTTTAATGTATCTATATGTCTTGAATTAATTATTCATCAGCCTGCAATTCAAACTAAATTTGATTACTATAAGTCACTTTTATCCATCAGTTCTGAGGCTTTCTAAGACAGTATGAAATTTTACATGTGTCAATATAGGACAATATTACAATTAAAAAAATAATTATTTGTCAAATTTATTAATTATTTTAAATATGTATCACAGTACATTAAATTAAATATATATTATTAAGCTTTTTCTGTACAGAGATAATTGTAATATTTTATATGTGGTTTACAATAAAAATTTTAAAAGACAAAGCACTGTTCATGAAGAAAAAATAGAAAATTAAAACATACAAGAGGCCCTCACAATTTACTCTGTTCTTTTTAAAATGAAAGATATATACCTAAAGCCTAGTAATGAGTTTGCTTTAGCTTTTTAATTACATGAAGGAACAAGTCAGAGAAAAAAGAATTTTTTACATGATGAATGAAGAGGGGGTCTATGCACAGCAAATCAAAGGTCCATGTGTATCTAATAAAATCCTTAGTACAAAAATCAAAATCAATCAGACAGTAAAATGCTAGATATATAGAGGTTAGTATTCTGAGCATTTTTTGTTGTACACTGATTTTATCAAACAAATTGAGGTTGACTTTCCTGCTTCCAATGGCCTGTTGGAACTCCATTGCTGAACAGGTGAGACAGTTTAGATGTTTTATGTGTTTTAGCTAGTGGAAATGCAGAGACCAGTGAAAAACAAAATATTTATCTATGACATGAGGTCTGCTTATATAAATTGAGATAAAAAGTGACAGAACTTGGACCTATTCACTTCAATAGCTTCACTGTCTTGAATTTAACATCAACATGGTAGCTTGGGAAATAAAGCTAATTACCTAGCTGAATTATAAGATGGCTTTTCTTATGTTTATTCTGGGAGTTTTGGTGGATGACAAGTTGAATATGAGCCAACAGTGAGCCCTTGAGGCTAGGAGGGTCAGTGGTATCCTGGGGTACATCAGGAAACACGTTACCAGCAGGTCGAGGGAGGTGATCCTACTGCTCTACACAGTCCTAGAGAGGCCACATCTGGAGTACTGTGTTCAAAGACAAGGAGCTCCTGGAAAGCATTCAGCAGAGGGCAAAAAAGGTGACTATGGGTCAAGAGCATCTCTCTTATCAGGAGATACTGAGGAAGATGGTTCTTTTAGTCTAGAGAAAAGAAGACTGAGAAGGGATCTCACAAGTACATATAAATACCTCAAAGGCAAGTGTCACTCTTTTCAGTGGTGTCAGGACAAGGAGTAATGCCCACAAACTAAAACACAAGAGGTTCCATCTCAACATCTCTGTAAAATAATTTTCACTCAATGGTATAAATAATGTATGACATTAGATTTACTTTAAAGTTGTTCTGCATATTTCCATTCACCTGATGCTTGAAAGAAGTGATTTGTTTTGGGGAAATAGCTAGTACGATTAAAACAAAGTTACTATATATCGACATGTACAAAAATTTAATTCTTTATTCTACTGTATTTTGAAAGATGATGCAGATAAAAATGTGCATTCAAGCAAGACATGTACAGATCAACAACACCTAGATGATGAACTGCGAGTGAGTGTTATATTAGGGGGACAACAATATGCTTAGAATAAAAATTGATATATTTTAACCTGATCCTGGAACTTTTGATCGTACTGACTACAGTATTTGCTTATGAGAGCATTACAATACTTCGGTCTCATTATTTATTTCAATGAGAAAATCCTCTACATTCAGATTCTGTTATAGATTTTGGATGTATTCACATGAACTGTAAGCTTCAAAATGTCATTACCTACAATGGAATTGATTCTTTAGTCTTTCCTAGCTCATAAAGTATCTGTTTCTGGGGGAAAAACAGCTCAGTGAAGTTTCTATAGTTCCCTGAAAGAAGAGCAATCCCTCCCCACTCAAATCTGCAAAGAATCCTTAAGGAATATACCAATCTACTTAAACTAAAGTTTCAGTAATGTTCTAACTGGTTCAGTATATGACATTAGTGAGTCTTACAACGTTGTATTTCTTTATCTGAGATTAGTCAAATGATATAGTCTTTGAAATAGCTGACTTAAAGCAACAATTAAATTGTTCGTTGAGTACTGAGCTAT